AGAAACTTAATTATTGCTTGTGTGCTTGTGTTAAGATTTCATGTCTTGCTGCAAGCACTATCATGCAAGAGGAGCCACACATCTATGGATCATCCAATAAAATCAGCAGACTTCTAGATGTTACTACTGCTCGGCTTAGACTCGGTTTCAAGTAACTCTGGGAATTCTCATTATCTGCCGATGTAGACCTGACCAAATGTAAATTGTGTCAACAAAATTATTCGCACACCCTCCGTCACTATGTGATGGAGTGCGAAATGATACGCGAATTTAGAGACAATTCTATAACCAATGTTCCAGCGATGTGTAAATATTTCATTCAAAATTATCTGCTACCAGAAATTTTAGCCAAATATCCCCAGTTTGCTAACTGTAGGTAGTAACTGAGTGATTGTAACCTATCCACCGCTGCCCACTGGATGGGGGGCGGTGTGCAGGACAAACATATAAATTGTGACACTAGCTCTCCACATATGTCAATTGCTTAATTTAGAACCTGTACTTGAGGTCGATCTCGAACCCATTGTTGATCGTTATTGTTAAACCCCATTAGCTCATCAAGATTGTAACTTGAATAGCTAAATGAATTATGGGGTTCAGTCCCTGAGCCCATTATGTGCCTCTGTAACCCTTTCCACTACCGCCCACAAGATGGGTATAGGGTGCATAATAAATGAACTAAACTAAAACTCTAGTGTTACCCAATCTCCCAATCTTTATGTACCTAATCCAAACAACTTTACCATTGTGATCATTGCTGTCTTCTTATATGTGCTAGCAATATGCTGTATTGTGCCTATTAAGCTTACCATTCAAGCTGTCAATGCAATCAATCTGAGCTACCGATGTGCTTTAATATACATTCAAATCTCTCTCATCTCATATTCTTTCTTGCAATGTACCTCTTATCATTTTATAAATTTTGCTAGAAGTTACCTACTTAAAATTATCTGTTAGATTAAGGACCTGCCCGAAACGCTGCGCGTACTAGTGGCTTTACAAGATTGTAATTACTACGCTATGTATCCTCACAAACCCAATGTACCTTCTTGTATATATATAAATAAAATAAAAATAAATAAATAAATTTTATGAATAATCATGTGATTCAACGCGCCACAAAGGTTTCGTGTCATATGTTCTTCAAGTTCTTTCATAATCGCTTTATGGAGTGCTAAGACAAAGTTAAGAGTTCATATTAATGACATAATGTTGGGGTAACCTTAGATGACGCAAGAGCTAGTCCCTCTGTCCTTGGGATTTCCTTAACCTGATATGTTTTATTTTTTTACACAGGTTTTTACACACAGACTCCTGCTAGCTCCTGCTAGCAGACTGAGCGCTTTCCTTACCAGTAGATCATGTTAAGCTTTCCCTACTGTAATTTTTCCCTGGAACTCGACCAAATCGGTTGACAACCAGGTACCAAATTACTGATGGGTGAACAGGCGCGAACAGTTGAAATTGGTGCCCAGTCGATCTTTCCCCCGGGCCGGGACTCGAACCAAGACTACTCGTGGCACGCAGGGCGAGTGTGTTTTCACTACGTCACCATCAGTTTGTTGTTGTTAAAGATTCAGTTACTTGGAACTCAAAGTTCCAAGTAGCACGGGCTATGGTGAGCCCGTTGCCACCATCAGTTCTTGTTCGGCTATCATCTTACAATTTCTTGTATCTATTCTTACTTAAATAACAAACAAACATCAATTTCCTGGTATCAGTATTATGACGACCCGCAATTCCTTAATTAATGTTCAGTTACATAAAGACTTGCTTCATGCTTGTGATGTAAGCAGCCCTGGGAATGACCGATGCGTTGTGAAAAAAAAGCGTTCTAGGAATTGTTTGAGCGCTTTCGTGACGTCACGAACGTCATACACGAACAAAGAATGCAGCTTAAAGCAACTTGAGACGGATTAGTGAATCGAACGTTCTATTAAACCCAGCCGATAAGAACGGGGTGAGAATAGCTTGAGGTACCTCATCCCTTTGTGTGTATTTTACCTCAATAAACTTATTTCAATTTCAATTTCAATTTCAGCCGATAAGCGAAGAAATCCTAAAATACTTCATGAATTTGAGTCCCGAAGCAAAACGGAATGAACGCTCAAAACATATAATTAAATTAATTTATATAACCATGAGAAAATTTAGTTATTACACCACTTAAAAACAATCAGATGTCAGCTGGTTGCCAGATGTATAAATCTGGCTTTAAAACATCGGCGATAGTCACTATTAAACTAATATTTATATAAACAGGAATTTCCTTAAGTACTTTCGTATATTAATACATCTTCAGAAGTAACGCAGGATTATCCCTGCTAAACAGAAAAAAAAAAAAAAAAATTCAGAAGTAAGATATATATATTACTGTATAAGAATGGAAATTGGGCGGCAAACGCAACTCCAAATTAAAACAACGTATCCATATCCCAGACTGAACCACACCGCCCATAAATGAAGAGCTATATATAACTCTTTTACGTGTTTTTTTACCGATTTGTGAAGGAAAAACCCCATTTTCCCGTAAACCGCGGGTAGGGGGGGGGGGTGGGACGTGATATGTCAAGGTCCTTTGTTGTTGAATAAATTACATAATTGTCCTTTTTAATATCTATAATTTAGCTTTGAGGCTCTCGTTAGACATGAATATCGTGAGTATAGGATCGTTTACAGTGTGTAAAGTGATCGAGAATCTTCACCCCGGTATAGTGTATAGTGAGGATCTTCACCCCGGTAGAGTGTATAGTGAGAATCTTCTTTAAGATTAACTTTGATTCAGCGAGATTTTAAGTCTCGCTTAAAGATTAACTTTGCGGCAAGACTGGCTTTTGTGCTTATGGCATCAGCTCGTCCTTGCTGTCCTTTATGCTAGGATTAATCTTTTTATGTAGGTTTTTTTATTAATGTTTATCCGGGTGGTTTTAGTATATGACTAGGCTACATGTGGCGTCAATTTTTGGTTGATTTGTTGTTATTTAGCGAATGACCTTACTACTTATTTTATATGTAGTAAGGCGTCTTAATCTAATTTTTTGTTTACAAGTGTTCCATCACACAACATGTGTGATGTCTGTTGTGGGGTATATTGTTTTAAGCTAATTTATCTGTAGTTTAATTGTAGAGTATTCCACAATGTGGCAGGATCCATTGTATGGGGCCCGTTCTCGCACTTTCTTACTGTCAATATTGACATATTAAATACGTGCATATGTGACATACTAAACATACTAGTTTACCTTGAAAAGCTTCATACAAAACACCGACCTTACCTAACCTTCTTAGTATGTTAAGATAAGCATCATATATATATGTGAGTGCGAGAACGGGTTGTGTATGGATATGGCATATCCTTTTGGAAGATGTTCATGAAAAAATCGTAGGATACAATGGAGTATAGCCTTTTTATCACGTGTTGGAGTAGTATGTATAATGATTTGAATTGACCTTTTGCAACTGCTGTAGATTGCAGTCCTCAACAGCAGTAGTGTAGTTATTATCTGTCGAACTTGATACAGAGTTTATATTTCTGCTGTTATATTTATATTTCTGCTGTTATATTTATATTTCTGCTGTTATATTTATATTTCTGCTGTTATATTTATATTTCTGCTGTTATATTTATATTTCTGCTGTTATATTTATATTTCTGCTGTTATATTTATATTTCTGCTGTTATATTTATATTTCTGCTGTTATATTTACATTTCTGCTGTTATATTTATATTTCTGCTGTTATATTTACATTTCTGCTGTGAATGTTGGTAACGGGTTGCGGTGCTGACAGTGAACAACCTTGTTTGAAGGGATGAAAGAATGTTCATTTCTGTTTGTATACATGATCCATCAATGTATATTATGGTTGTGTTGAGAGTGTAAGTTAGCCTCGTAGAGAAGCTTGAGACTATAGGCTAGCGTAATTTATTATGTTTTGTGCGTGGTTTATTTTATTTTATTGTAGATATGTATTATGTATTATTATATAGTTTATGTATTTTATTGTAGATATGTGGTAGTAGAAATAGTTCGGGATCAACTTGCATGCCGCGAGAATGGAGAAGACTGTTTAAGGTCATTTGAATTAGAATATAGTATGAGGGAAGTGTGTGTGACAAAAGGGTCCATACTGTATAATTTTGTTTACAACATTAACACAAACAAAAATGTTGCTGGATACAAATTACTTAAATTTAAAAATAACAAACAGAACAATCAGAAATTAAAATAAAAAAGATGTTGGATACAAAGTGCTTAAATTTAAAATAATAATATGGTAATATAAAAGAGACAGAGAACTGATAACTAATATTGCGCTTAACTATAATCAATAATAATATGCGCTTAATCGTTCGTTTAAATGATAATAACCAAAAGATAACTCTTTCCCAGTGTATCACATTCAGAACCTTGTATACCACGTATGTAAGACCAATCCTGGAGTATGCGGCCCCAGCATGGAGCCCGTATCTTGTCAAGCACAAGACGAAGCTTGAAAAAAGTTCAGAGGTATGCCACTAGGCTAGTCCCAGAACCAAAAGGCATGAGCTACGAGGAAACGCTGCGTGAAATGCACCACACGTTGCTGGAAGACAGGAGAGCTCGGAGAGACATGATCACTACCTACAAAATTCTCACAGGAATTGACAGGGTAGATAGAGATAAGTTGTTTAACAAGGGGGGTACGCGAACAAGGGGACACAGATGGAAGAGGGACAAGGGGACATTAGGCAGTCATGTGGTGTAGGCAGACACCACACACCATACAAATGTAGATATGATAGAGCCCAGTAGGCTCAGGAATCTGTACACCAGTTGCTTGACAGTTGAGAGGCGGGACTAAAGTGCCAGAGCTCAACCCCCAGCAACCACAACAGGGTGAGTACATTAGTTTCTCGTTATTTATACAAATTTTCCCAGTGGCGAGAGGGGGGCGTGTTTACCCTTGACATAAGGTGAAGAACCACAGCCTCACCCGAACACACCCGACTGGGCACCCCACCCGAACACACCCGACCGGGCACCCTACCCAAGTCACCCTTGTAACTGGGACAGTTGCGTGCGGGACGTGGGTACGGGAGCACGTACTGAATACCTCTCCCAGTTATTCACTACCCAGTCATTAACGTTCCCTTGCTGGACTATAAATTTGAGATGTGAGTGTTGTATTAGGGTTTCACTTACACATTAACGATATATATATAAGCATTAGGCAATCAATTTAATGCTTCAAACATAACTAATTCAATACTGTAACAACAGTTATTTTTTTTTACCCGACTGCATTGCTAAGTGTTACGTCGGCGCTGCTCTCACCCTATTCAAGGTATGTGATAAATATTATAAATATGGAAAGACATGGCTACAGCAAACTTATTTTGGGGGGCTTTATATACTGGGTCTGTCATTTACTGTCTAAAAGGAGTATCAAACGTGAAAAAATGAAAATTTTTACACCGTTCTCAGTCTACAAGGTTCTGCTCATTCATCTGACGGGCAAAACTACTGACACATTCGCCAATTTTAATGTTCGTTCATAAAAGGTAATTTTCTTAACTCGATATTAATCTATATAAAAGAGAATGTCTGTCTATCTCTGAAGGTGGAGATCAGACTTTTGGGGCTAGTTTTACCCAACTTTCAGACATGAAATAAAATGGATAATGCAGTCGGGGTTGGCCCGAGTGCCACACTTTAAGAAATACCGGCATTCATAGCCCTCCCCACATAAGGTTTTCATAAGTCAAGTCTTTAATAAAGGCTTCCTACTCTTGACATTCTATTTCAGATAGAAATATGCTTCTCTAACCTTTTCCACCACCGCTTACAGGATGGTTGAAGATCATAACAGAAGGATTAGTTTATTGTTTCAAGCGTAGGTTAGACATACAAATGAATGAGTTTGGGTTGATATAAATAGGAGCTGCCTCGTATGGGCCAAAAGGCCTTCTGCAGCTTCCTTGATTCTTATGTTCTTAAGAAACAAACTTAACTGACTAAAATTTTCGCCAGAGAAACGTACCGAGTTGCAATAATTGAATTTGATTGTTGTCGACCAACTTGTCTTCTTATAAATTACGTCTGAATTTTGCCGTTTACCCGTATGGCCTAAAATGGACGTAATTTGAAAATGAAAATAAATTTTGGATTTTTTTTTATCCACGAAGATTATAAACCCAACCCGTCCTAAACTCAAGTTCATTATGCAGACGAGGAGTCACAATAACGTGGCTGAAATATGTTGACCAAACCATACTAGAAAGTGAAGGGACGACGACGACGTTTCGGTCCGTCCTGGACCATTCTCAAGTCGATTCTCACAATCGACTTGAGAATGGTCCAGGACGGACCGAAACGTCGTCGTCCCTTCACTTTCTAGTGTGTGGTCTGGCAACCCGTCCTCGACTCAAGTCCATTACATCCAGCGGTCAACCCCACAGACGCATTCATAAATTTTAACATGCTGTTCATTCAAAACGGGAATTTTCTCAAGTATAAATTAATTTTATAATATATTAACATGTGTATATATAGGTATAGGATAGGTTAGGTTAGGTGTTTAGGTTCTGCTGGCGATTATTTGTATTTGTAGTACGTGGGTGAAGCATTTACAGCGTTGTGGTTCGAACAAAATTCGTCAGTGAAGCACTTGTTCCGGAAATGTTCGAACGTCAGCAGTTGTGAGTCGTGTGTAAACCGCTTTTCATTCATAAACAGGGGGTTTGGCGGGTGCATGGAATCACTTTTGGATCTTTGTTTGGAGGACGGGCTGGCGCCACGGGGACTGTTTCCTGATGCTCTGATGCAAGCCGATGCGGCGCCATGTTTGGGCGCCTGCTGAGGCGACGGATGCCAAACTATGTTTTGGCAGTGTATGCTGCTGTTTCAATGTTGTCAAGCATTCTGTTGGCATGAACAATAGTTAAAGAGTAGCTTTATTATTAGTATTTTATTAGTAGCTATATTTGCTCGCTCACTCTGAGCAAGTGGGTGAGTAAGCAAGCAATACAATGAGTGAGTGAGGGAGCTCAACCCGTCCTCGACTCAAGGCCATTACATCCAGCGGTCGACCCCACAGACGCATTCATCAATTTTTACATGCTGTTCATTCAAAACGGGAATTTTCTCAGGTATAAATTAATATTATAATATATTAGCATATTGTGCATATCTAGGCATAGGTTAGGTTAGGTGTTTAGGTTCTGTTGGCGATTATTTGTATTTGTAGTACGTGGGCGAAGCATTGATGGGTTGCGTGGCGCAGTGGTAGACACTCGTCCATTACTTTGTGAGCGCTTTGGCCTTTCTTTCGTATCCTGCCCGGGAAGGATTGCCCGGCGCCAATCCTTAACTGAATCCTCTGTTCAATCAGAGGCTACAATCCTCTATTCAATTCCCATAAATCAGCCCATCATCCTAAGGTTAAAAACGAGAAAACGGCCAATTTAATGTGCCCTCTCCTAACCTACCAGAGGACCCAAAACAGAAAACGGTATAGTACGTCACTTTCACCAACCGCTTCCATTTTCTAGTGTGACAATTTTTGGCTTTACGTAACGCATACGATCGAAAAATGACGTTCTTTGTTAGAGGACAAGTTGCATCAATACGGATACAAGGCATGACTATGATTATTGAAGTTCCACAAACACGTTCTGTATTTGAGTTAGTTTTTCAATCCGTCCTCTCGAATAGTACATCACATTTTGACATATAAATCCCTTTTGACAAAAAAACTGATGTACTAAAAAAAATCATAGCAGCTCACAAAATTGACAAGTTCAAGTTCAAGTATGTTTAATGAGACAAGAAAAAATACATCTCAAAGGGATAGAGTAGCTTAGGCTATTTCTACCCCTCCTCTACTTCAAGTCCCTCAAGGGGCGCACAAATTCAGTGAGTACAGATACACAAATCACAATACAACATTTAACATTGCATATTAATATAGTAAGTGTTACAATCATTGGGGCAAAATTCTTGTAGTTCCTAAGTTGACATGGTCTCATTCTCTAGTTGGTCCTCGGTTAGGTTAGATTCAGGCAATATATTACATCATTTTTGTAATGTTGTGACAACTGGTGAGAACGGGCGGATTCTACGCATCAATTATCCTAGCACGAAGCTCATCTATGGGGCAAGGTTTTGATAAGATAGTTCACCGGGGATAAATCCGGTAAGTGTCGGCTGAAGGATTGGCCCCACCTCTTCCAATCCGCCTGTCTGGGAAAACCACGCCGAGAAATACCCGAACGTTGTGAGCACAGTGGTTCTGTATATTGCTGGACAACTCTATCGCTCTACTGGTCGCTTTTGTAGCCTATGGAAGAGAAATTATGAGTATTTGAAACTGCACAAGGACTTAGTAATGCTTCGTGTATTGCTAGATTATGTTAAAAAGTAATATATGTATATTTCTTTTGTTTGACTTGGGTTATTTATTTATTTAATGTGGTGCTGGGTTGCGCCTCTCTCTCTCTCTCTCCGCCTTTTTCCTCTCTCCCTGTCTCTTCACCCTCTCACCCAATCTGCCCCTCTCCACCATCCCTCCCAATCTCACCCCCAATCCCCCTCTCTTTGTCTCTCCCTACTCTCCAATCCCCCCTCTACCCCTAATCCAATGGTGTCAGTGGGGATTTTCTCCAAATAAGTCGAGTCACTTATACTAAGTATATTATTAGATCCCCGGTAACATATTTCAGTCAGGCATAACTTATAAGAGGCTGGCACAACTTGAAAAGATGCAAAATGCAAAACTAATCACCAAAAAGATGCAACATTTTCCCCAGCGGAAGTTTGAGAACTGTTGTGGGGTAGCATCATGGGAAAGGCTAGTCGTCGTAGGTATAGGAAATGCTTCGATTATTCGAGCACGTCTTCCGTCTCCGACAACGGAAAGCCATTTATGATTGATTTATACTTCTCAAGCATCCGTTTTTTTTTCGGGCGATCTTTGAAAGCTGTGATTTATACGGTGTATGGGTCAATTATATACAACGGGATTCGATGAGGCTAGTTTTCCGTTTGTTAAAATCTTACGTGTTGTTATATTAGTAGGATGTATTAAGTTTGGCTGTATTAGGTTTGGTTAAGTTGGGTTAGTTTAAAGTGGGGGTGGATTAATATCCGCGGCGAATTGCCTTCAAGTTCAAGTATGTTTATTGAGATAAGCAATAAATACATCTCAAAGGGATAGAGTTGCTTAGGCTATTTCTACCCCCCCTCGAATTGCCTTGTATATGATGTGACTTGCATCCATTTAATTTACTGTGTCGGGAGAGAGGCACTGATTATAAGTGACTGATTTATCCTGGCTGTTCACTTCCTTCTCTTTAACCACTCTTTGTCTGATGTTTTTAACCAAAGCCTTTCAAGGCAGCGTAAACAAACAGTTTATTAAACTGTCATCCATTGTAAACATAAGACTATATATCTTGTTTTCTGAGTTCCTGTTGGACCCGGTTAGAAGAGTGTGTGTGTGTGTGTGTAGGTGTACTTACTTAGTTGTACTTGCCTGATTGTTCTTGCAGGGGTTGAGCTTCGGCTCTTTGGTCCCGCCTCTCAACTGTAAGTCAATTGGTGTGTTCCATTGTTAAGTACTCTGACACTGAGAATGTTCTTTCTAATGTGTGTGTGTGGGTGTAATGTTTTTGTATTAAGGATTGTTTTTGACAATATCGGTTAAACTTATTAACAAACTGCTTCATATATGACAAACGTCTTGTCCTGGGTCATATATCATACTATATCTGAATATAATGAGAGCAATCACAGGGTCTTATCTAGGAGTGGGACACAAAGTATTAATAATATTTTACATACACGCTGTTCGTTCCCTAGTTCATTATGCAGCGCCTGCCTTACTCACTCTTTCTCCTGGTCAGTGGGCAAACGTTGACGTTATTCAAAATGATGCAAAGCGAGTCATAACAGGGGCTCCCAGATGGACTAAAATATTGAACCCAAGACTAGAAACCAAGCTAACGTCGACTGACATAAGGGTGAAAGGGATTGCTGCATGCATGCTGACCAAGATATTGACTAGACCTAGAATCAGTTCACTTGAAGATATAATCACTGGAGCACTAACTAGGGACAGAAGAACCTCCAATAGCAACAGGTGGACCCATTGTGCAATAAACACCATAACTTATTTGATATAACAAACACAATCACTGAGAGGGGTGTCGACGAAATACATGCAGATTTCGTTATGCAAGCCCCTTGGGAATCGCTGCCAGCAGATTTTAAGATTATGGTTCTTGATGGAAAAAAGAACCAGACTAATCCTCATCTGCTACGAAATATTGCACAGATGCAAATAGAAGCAAACTTGGCATCTGACAGCTTCACATACTTCACAGATGGACCAGGAAATCAGCAAGGACAAGAAACCGGAGCTGCAGTTAAGGCAGGAAACTGTAAATAGTTGGAGACTCTCAAACGGGTGTTCAACTTTACAAACAGAGATGCTAGCCCTTCAAAAGGCTTTGGAACATGCTCTTGCTGAACACCGACACAGATTCGAGAACTGCCATTGAAACCTTGCAACAAGAACACATACATGACAACATCCATCTGATCACAAATGTCATATCATTAATGCAAACACTCAAACGTCAAGGCCGTCGGGTACTTATTAACTGGGTGCCAAGTCAAGTGAAAATAATAGCAAATAACATTGCCAACGAAGCTGCAAAACTTGCAACTTGCAACGCGAAGAAATGTAGACATTTATATACCACAGAGTCTATCACAGATTAAGAAAGTAATTAGAAACAGAGCAATGCAGTTGGTGTACATTGACCACAACACAGCAGTTACAACATCAGGATCTGCGGGTTGGTACAAGAATTCAACCAACTACGAACCACTTAGTTTGATGAAAGGGAGCAGTAGAGCAACAGAAGTACACTTACATCGCATCCGGCTTGGATATCCATGTGCATGGGAAATAGGCTTACAGGTTCCGGAAGATGAGAGGAAATGTCAACACTGGAGAAATGCCCGACAGACCACTGGAACATTATCTAACACAGTGCACAGTTACAAACCCATTAAGATTTCAACTTAGATTCAACAGAGCAGAAGAAGTTGTTGAACACATATGGCAAAATCTTACTGAAGCGACCATACGAGTCATAAATACTTATTCTCCGCCCAAGTAAAACAGAAACAAGCAACACTTAGTGGGCCAGCCAGAGGCTTAGGGCCGCCGCAGCTCTTTCCCTGCCAAAAACAAAAACAAAAATACTATATCATTTAGAATTCTACAATATACTATAAGTATGGAAGGTATCCACTAAATTTTTGTTACATTTCAATGCATCGGAAAACACATTTTGTCCAACGTATCCAGTTCCGGAAGTGTACAGTGATGCACCACAGGTGTTTGGAGTGATAACACTGAACAGTTTTGAATCTAAAAATATTTTACCAACTTTCATCTTTCGCCGTAACATGGAAACAACTATTTCGTAAATTTTCAATCTTCTACGTTAGGCAGTTTTTTGTTACATTTTCTGGATCCTTATCGTGGTGCTGGAACATTGAGGGGTTAGAAATAGCCTAAGCTACTCTATCCCTTTGAGATGTAATTCTTTCTTGTCTCAATAAACATACTTGAACTTGAATCACTGGAACACCATTGTTCAAGAGGTTAGAATGAATATCTTCGATGTTCACATATTCATCGACGCTTCTACCCATCGATTTCTTATGTTTGTGGATGGGCCAATGGCCCGAGAGAGCGCCTCGCAGGAGAGCCTCTTCAAATTCCTCTTGAGTCTCCTCTTGGGTCTTATTTGAAAGGGGAGGGTAAGGGGGAAGGGGAGAAGACTAAAGGAGTGGGGGGATGGTAAAGGGGATGTTGTTGTTGTTAAAGATTTGCTACCTGAAACAAAGTTCCAAGTAGCACGGGCTATGGTGAGCCCGTAGGGTAAAGGGGAGAAAGGTGGTACGGCGTTTTATTTGCTACTAGCAGATTTGTTAGACACTACTTCCCTTCTGTGAGTCTGTGTGAAAGATTTGTCACAATTTTTCCTTTCCATGTGTTTCACCTGTCATGATTAATGTATTAAGTCATTGTGTCATGCATGACAATGACACAGAATGACACAGATACATGCTTTACTGCCTCCTGTCTATCCTCCTCCTTAATATATATAAGTACTAGGTAAGGTACCCGGCAGTGCATGGGTCGACCTAAAAAGGTTGGGACATATTAATTAAGTTTTGGCAACTCAACAACAGAAAATATTGTTTTTGCCTGCTTTGCCCAAGTTTGTTAAACCTTCGAAGCGACTTCAGTGCTCAACTTTAAATTACAACTTGGTGAAGTTTTCAGGCACAGCGAGAGAACATTTTTAAGGTGACACCAAGTTAGCCGTCAAGCAATTTTAGGTGAACGTGTATTTTCGAAAAAAAATAAAACATTCCTATGCACGTTTGTTTCCGAACTTTTTTGTTTTTGAATTATCGAATCTATTCCTCGTAATTAGAATTAGAAGCTTTATTCGCAACAATTAATACAAATCGTTAAAATTTGATTGGACTGCACAGGTGCACAGCAAAATAAACACTCATACATTTTAGACAAATTTAATTACATTAACGTACAATTTTAATGATATAGGCATTAGGCGTACTCCCTGGGGTGGGGGTGGGGGGTAGAAATAGCCTAAGCTACTCTATCCCTTTGAGATGTATTTTTTTTCTTGTCTCAATAAACATACTTGAACTTGAACCGGTGACAAAACTGTCTTGCGACCAGTTTCCTGCGGTAGTTGGTTGCCTCAGTTCCTGTGTGGTGACGAGGCTATTGTGGCCTGCTAAGTTCTCCCAGGAAGCGGTCATTACGCTCAATCAACGGGCTTCTATTCTCTCATCAGTTCCTGTCCGCAGGGCCCTCGGGAAGCTCTGTCAACTCAACCAGAATTATGCAATTACGCCACTTTCAAACGCATAATGGTATGGGCACTTGGGTCTTGGACTTGATGTGCAAATGGTATAGAACCTATAGGCTAAGAGAGGTCGATTGGTAGTGGTTATAAATTTCATGGGCGGATCCACCAATCTGTGTAATTTGCCAATTCATTAGCCAATTACCGGTGAGGATAACTCGTTTGTCAGTTTAATTACCCATTTGGTAGTTCGCCCTCGGAGAAATTGACGCTGAGTGCTCGCAAAATTCTCAGTTAATTCTTATTTTATTATCACTATGAGCAGCATATGGCTGTGCGTAACTAAGCTTGTTAAAAAAAATGCCAAGACGCAGTAGGTTACACTTCTCGGTGTACACATTCATTCTTTTGTTAGGTAAATTTAGATAAGTGTTGTTTGTTGCTGGAGACTTACGACGTCTTTAATTCCACAGCGTGATGAGTCTCAGAGGACCACAGCGCCAGCTCTCCCAGGCTGCGGCGGTGGTGCCACAGGTCTTTGAATGTGTGGCTCTGGGCCGGCCCACCTCCCCGGCCCTGAAGGACGCCGGCCATCACTCCTGGATCACCTATCACCATCTTAACGAGAGGGCCAACAAGCTAGCCAGGTGCGTACGATGAACCCAGATTCATGAAGCAGTTACGCAAGTACTTACGAACCGTACATCTTTTCTCAATCTTTGGCGACTTTCTTTACAATTAGTAAACAGTTAATGAGCTCTGAGAAGCACCAGGAGACTGTTTATAACAATAACAACAGTTGATCGGGGGGCCAGATTCAGGAAGCAGTTACGCAAGTACTTACGAATCGTACATCTTTTCTCAATCTTTGGCGACTTTCTTTACAATTAGTAAACAGTTAATGAGCTCTGAGAAGCACCAGGAGGCTGTTTATAACAATAACAACAGTTGATTGGGATGTTTTCATGCTTGTAAACTGTTTAATAAATGTAATCAAAGCCGTCAAAGATTGAGGAAAGATGTACACGTTCGTAAGTGCTTGCGTATAACTGCTTCGTGAATCTGGGCACTGAGGGTCAGACAATGATGAAACATTTTAAGGAGTTAGTAATAATGTCTTCTCACATTAATGGCAGTGTCTTCTCACAGACATAATAACATAGGATAAAAACCCACACTTAAGTATTTGTGAATTTTATGTAAAGATTTACACCAAGTCTTTCGCATTCTCCTGAGTGCTTTGTCAAGGTCTTAGTGTGTGATAAGCACGAGACTTACATCTTAACGACTACTGTCCAATGAATAAGGCATTAGTCGCTGAGATATATAAGTCTCGTACCTATTAATACTTATACATATTTATTTATTTATTAATTTACAAAAAGGTACATTGTTGTGAAAGTACATAACTTTGGTGTTTGAGTATTACATTCTTGCAAGGCCAAGTTCAAGTATGTTTATTGAGACAAGAAAAAATACATCTCAAAGGGATAGAGTAGCTTAGGCTATTTCTATCCCCCTCTACTTCAAGTGGGGTAGAAATACCCTAACCTACTCTATCCCTTTGAGATGTATTCTTTCTTATCTCAATAAACATACTTGAGCTACTAACACATATAGCGTTTCGGGCAGATTCTTACTCTTATCCTTGTACCTTGTAGCTAAATTTAAATTCAAGATAATAACTGTAATAGAAATTGATAGCTTTGTTTATTATTATTCATTGAATAGGTATCTTTGATAAGATACCACAGGGAAGCAGGGAAATTACAGGCACATTGAATAAATGGTAAAATACTAGAATGGATAAAACAATGGTTAAAACAGAAAACAGAGTCGTGCTAAATGGGAGGGAATTATCAAGGGAAAGCGCCAAGCCATTATGACTATATAGCACTGGAAAGGGATCAGGATAAGGATTTGGGATGGGACGGGGGGGAAGGAATGGTGCCCAACCACTTGGACGGTCGGGGATTGAACGCCGACCTGCATGAAGCGAGACCGTCGCTTTGTACCACAAGGGCTCATTTTGGGGCCAACTCTTTTTGTCATATACATCAATGACCTAGATGAGAATATTACAAACCACGTCGTCAAATTTGCAGATGACACTAAGATTTATGGTAAAGTGGGAATGAAAATTATATTGAAGCCTTACAAAGAGATCTACATGAACTCCACAAATGGTTAGAAGACTGGCAAATGCTTTTTAATATCGACAAATGCAAGACTTGCATATAAGGCATAACAAGCCATACCACAACTACGTTCAAGTTCAAGTTCAAGTATGTTTATTGAGATAAGCAATAAATACATCTCAAAGGGATAGAGTAGCTTAGGCTATTTCTACCCCCCTCTACTTCAAGTCCCTCAAGGGGCGCACAAATTCAGTGAGTACAAATAGACATATAACAGTACAAGAATCCCATTTAACATTGCATACAGCAAGTACAGCATATAATTGTTACATTCTTGGGGCAAAATTCTTGTAGCTCCTAAGTATACTGTCTATTATACCATTATCACACATCCAAACAATTTGATGTGGTACACTATTTATTTCCTTATTTCTATATTTTTCAATAAGGTGACACTCTAATACATAATGTTCTAAGGTGTGGGCGTACGGCATACTACATAATTTACACTCCTTATCTTTTTCACTGACATCAACACCGTATTGCCAGATATATTTATATCCTAATCGTAATCTCATGTAAATTGAATCCTTCCAAGTAGACTTTCCTTTACCATAAGTGAAGGACGAATTTGTATTTATTATTGAATAATTCTTAAGTGTGTTACTACTGTCCACCATTGCCATTCTCTTTATCATTTCTTCACCCTCCTGAATCACCTTGAGTCTAGTTTTTATTTGTTTCAAGGTTAACTGACATACAACATCAACAAGAGTTTTTTCAGTGGCTCTCTTCGCTATGTCATCAACTACCTCATTCAACAGTATTCCCACATGTGAAGGGATCCACATGAATCTTACTTTATACCCAGTTTTTTCTAGTCTCTTAACATTCTCTCTACACTCTATCACAATATTCTGATATACTGGGCGTCTGCTATTTAAAGACTCTAACGCTCCTCTGCTGTCAATAAAGAAGCAAGCATTTTTACCACATTTGACTACTTCCTGTAATCCTGCTAATACTCCTTGGAGTTCAGCCTGCGTTGAAGAGACATTGTCAGTTAAGCGGCGTCCAATAACAGTATCTACAGTGCCGATGTCAGTGTACTCCCTGATCAAGACTCCACATCCTGCCTTCCCATCCCTAGCTACTGACCCATCACAATATACATGTAGAGTGTTTTCCGTAGGCAGTTTTCTAATTATACAATCATATGTTGCCCTCAGCTCTCCTATTTCATACATACTTTTTTTCTTATGCAAGGGAGTAATTACTACATCTACATTACAATCCTCCCATGGTGGTGTAAATTTTCTCTTGGGCACAGCAACACACTCTGTAATAACATCATACTTTATAACATTATAACATAATTTATTCATATATACTCTCTTCTTCATCATACACTGTTCACTACTTCCCACCTTTTGAACCGAGAGGATTAATTCATTAGCTCCCCCACCTCTCATTAATCTAATGGCAGAGGCTACATTTATCTCTGAAATTCTATCCCCAATACTCTGCAGATTCAACTCCATCCTCATTATCTCAATCATAGCATTTCTTGGGCATCCTAAGATAATTCTCATTGCTTCATTTTGTACCTTCTCCAACTTGCCCATCCTACCTTTACCAAAACAAGAAATGACAGGTGCAGCATAATCAATAAGAGATCTTACAGTACTCAAGTATAACATTCGTAGCACAGGGACTCCCACTCCCTTTCCACAGCATGCCAAAGCCTTCAGAGGTTGTAATCTCTTCCGACATTGACCCAACAGTCTGTTCATCTCAGCTTCCAAACTCTCATGGGTATATCCAACATATATGCCTAAATATTTATATATATTAACTCTCTCTATATTTTTATCGTTTATTTTCAAAACAATGGGGCTCCGACTTCTACATTCAAACTTAGTTTTGTTTTCATTAACCACCAATCCCATATGGTGACACAGGTTTCCGAAATTGTCCAACACTGTTTGAACCTTTGAAATATCTTTGCCCTGAAACAAAATATCATCGGCATATATGATCGGAGTTACCCCATTTGAGTATCTCTCAGATGCTATCTTATTCATTAGTACATTAAACAGGGTGGGACTCAACACTCCTCCCTGAGGTGTGCCGAGTTCAAAAGACCTCACACCTGACATACAACCTTGATACCACACCTGAGCCTTCCTTTCGTAAAGATAATCCCCTATCCAGCGCAATAATTTCCCTTTAACACCAAGACTAGCTAATTCATATAAAATAACCTCTTTGTTGGCTTTATCAAAAGCTCCCTGTAAATCAATGAAAAGTCTATAATAATCATTTTCATTAGCTAGACATTTAATAATACAATCAGAGGTACTTTTTCCTTTGAGGAACCCGAACAAATTACTAGACAGCTGATCACCTATTATATATAAAAGTCTATTTAAAATGATCCTCTCCATCATTTTACAAAAACACGAGGTTAAAGACACAGGTCTATATTCTCCATTGGCTTTAGGGATAGGGATGATCATAGCTTTTTTCCATTTACTGGGAATACTGCCCTCTTTATAACTAATATTAAAGAGGTCTAAAAGTGGGCTTTTCGTCATAGTGGCAAGTTCATTAAGTATTTCATAAGTTACTCCATCCTCCCCAGGTGCGGTAGATTTCCCAACTTTAATCGCCATTATTAGTTCTTCTCTGGTAATACCTGTGCAAGTGACATCACCACTGTTACCCGCTATAAGTATAAAATCCTTTCTTAGATCTTTCCAAGAATCTAATGACTCTCTCGTTACAGCAGGTAATGAACTAAGTTTGGCAGCTTCCGCCCATTTATTTACGAGCCCATTTGCAATTCCTTGCGGGTCTGGATGTGCAACAAAATTGTGTTTTTTACCCCTTATTTTATTTACGTCTTGCCAGATTTCCTTCAAGTTTCTGTTACTCCCAACTTTCTCTGCAAATTCCTGCCAATACTTGCTCCTAATTTCCTTTCTCTTCTCCCCACACAGCCTAGCAACTGCCAGTAAAGCATTCTTCCCTTCCTCAGTCCTACCATTCCTATTCCAATCCCTGTGAGCTCTCCTCATTGTTAATGTCCACCCCTTAAGCATCTTGTCATGTGTATAATTTTCTTTTCTGGGGGGATGCCTTTTTATACTAGATGGTTTCCGGTTCAATGCTGCATTAAATACATCTACCTCCTTAATTAAATCTTCATAAAATGTTTCTGCCGAAACCGGCTTATAAGTATCATACCAAGACTTAATATGGCCAACAAGACCCCTTAATTCTCCCTCATTAAACTTTAACCTTTTCCTCTGAAGGCAGGCATGCTTTTTATCTAGTTTAAGCTGTATTTGTAATGCAAAATGATCACTTAGCATTTCATCCACAGTAAGACAATTCCCCTCTATGCCCTCAGCATTTATTAAACAAGCATAATCTAATCTCCCTCCCCTCAAATGAGTAGGAGAGGGCTCGCCCAGCAGTTGAACATCTTCATGTTCCTGCAAAAACTGGTACCATCAAAAACTGCAACCATTCCTATTTGCTTTACCCCTTGATCCTAAAGCTGGATGTCTGGCATTAAAATCCCCTACCACAAGTGTATCTTCAGAAAAGAAGGAATCTGGCAAGTATCGTAAATCAAGGGAGCTATCAGAGATGTATAGATTAATGAAATTTAACTCTCGGTCCTTTAATTGTATCCGCAAGCTAATACTTTCAATACCTCTATATCTCTGAGGGATTCCAGTTATCTCGGCAGGTATGGTACTTTTGACATAACATGAGACCCCCCTAGTTCCTCCATCAGCATATAAATGAAAACCTCTATAGCCATTTAGCCTCAGTATGCTACCATCCCTATCCCCAGTTTCCTGGAGTGCAACTATGTCAATATCCTCTCTAAGAGTATAATAGTGTACATCCGCCGCTCTAGTTTTTAATCCATTAATGTTCCAAGATAATATTCTCAATTTACTTTCATCCATGATTAATAATAAAACTACCTTTGCCCTGTCCGTCACATTCCATGAGATACAAGAGTACCTTAGAAACTTCCTTCCAACACCGTAACATTTTTTCTTTCTCCTCACTTTCACAACTACTACTAACATCGAAGGTAATATTTTTCATATCTATTTTCTTTGTAATTTCTGTAACCCGTTTTACTTTAACCGTTCTTTCACCATTTGTCACAACAGGAGGTTGAACACCGCTAACACTACTAGAAAGTGTATTCTCCTGACTATCCTCTATCATCGTTACCTCATGCACATCATTACTTTCTTCTACGCACGTTTCACTTTCCATTTCACGTCTCGTTTTACTTTCAATTACACGTCCTGTTTCACCACCATCTTCACCCCGTCTACCTTCCATAGCCAATTTTTCCAATGCCTCAATCCTCTTATCTAGTTTTTTTAGATACTCCAATATTTGATTACCAACCTCAGAGGTGACCATATTGTCCTGAACCTTGTCGTCACAAGGTTTCAGTTTTTCCACTGCATGATGTACTTTCCCTAAGCTCGCCTTTACTTTCTCCGTCCCTTTTTCCCACACATTGATCATAGGGGCTGCCGTTGACTTCCAACTGTTTCCTCCATGTTCCTCTTGCACAATTTTTCCTTGCTGCGAGGATACATCTATCCTGCTTGTAGGACCCGTTCTAGTCTCTTTCAGATGAGGCTTCATGGGGCATAGAGAGGAACCAGCATTGTGGCTGCCTCGACAGTTGCAACAAAATGGGATGATTTTTTCACTTCTTTCAATCTTGACTCTACACTCTCGCGAGTCGTGATTTTTCCCACAATACCGACACCTGGGGTCAAACTGGCATTTCCATGCCATATGCCCCCAACGTGAACACTTCATGCACAGTATGGGCTCCTCAACGTATTTTGCAACGTTCCTATAGCCTAGTCCTTGCACAAAAATTTTCTCCGGCGCCTCACCCTTTACCAAGGCAACAACCTGGCTTCGTTTGTCACCACGAACACTGTTTCTCTTCGCCCAGACAACATTATCATTGTTAAGAAGAAGACAGTCAGGATCCAAATAAGTTGGAAACTTGAAAACTATGATCTTTGTGTGCAACATACCTTCTTCTGGAGGAACCATCACTACATTCTCAAAACCAACCGTCGTGAGGCGTTCCACGGCCTGTTCAGTCCCAACTGTTATGTAGGGCCGGTGAAGACCCTCCTTGAAAAGTGGTTCGTATTCCAAACATTGTTTAGCTAGACGTACCGTCCACTCTAGCTTTTGGTGGAAATTCAATTGGCATGATGTAGGGAACAACAGCCTCTTCCTTCTTGTCTTGTCTTGAGTCTTGCTGAGTAGGGTCTCATTCTTTGGTCTCTTTGCAATCTCATCGTCACTCTCACTGTCTCGCTGTCTGTTATTATTTCTCCGTTTCTTTTTGTTCACTACTAGTTCAAACGGTCGATTATCATCTTGTCTGTCCTCCTCACTACCACTTGGGCATACCGCCTCAGCCATTTCTTCGACGCTGTCAATAATCGAGAACAAATGCACAATATCCTGAGCCCATTATGTGCCTCTGTAACCCTTTCCACTACCGCCCACAAGATGGGTATGGGGTGCATAATAAATGAACTAAAGTAAACTAAACTAACTGAACATTATATAACTATCAGTTGCACAACAGGTAGGAGGTGCAGTATAAAAAGTCAACCAAACTCTAGGAATAATCAGACGTTCCTTTAACTTTAAGGAAAAAAGAAGGTAGTAATTCAACTAAAAATTGAAATGGGCAAATACAGGTAAACTGTATACATCTCTGGTGCGCTCCCCCCCACTTGCATTATTGTATTAAAGCATGGAGACCTCATCTTCAGAAGGACATAGCTGCTTTAGAGAAAGTACAACACGGTAACAAAAATCATTCCAGGTTTTTCATTCCAGAATAGTCAGCTTGTTATAGGGTTACATCCTGGGCAGGGTCAGTAATTTGACCTTGGGATAGGGGGGGAGGGGGGGTGACCTAGATATAATCCTAACGTGTATTAATACACTCAGGCTTCCTGTCCCCCGACACAATGCATTGTATTTAACTTATAATTTACTTTCATACTTTTATTATTTTTCCCATTCTGTGTTTTGCACGACCTCAGAAATTGTAATCTTAAGGCTTTAATTTACTGATATTGTTCTGTTATACAAGATATACCTTATTCACCTTTTTGAAATTGAAATTGAAATAAGTTTATTGAGGTAAAATACACACAAAGGGATGAGATAGCTCAAGCTATTCTCACCCCGTTCAGTACATCGTGTTAATACATACATAGACACACATCACAAACAATAAACATATTACCAAACATTCTGAGAGATAAACATATACATTTCCTTTCACCTTTTTGGTCTTCAGATGTATACTGAAGCGTCTCCTGAGCACAACGTGTTCTAACCCTGACGGAGACAGGGTCGTGGCTGTGTGTATGGCACCATCCTCTCACTACGTCACCTCCCTACTAGCCATACACAAGGTAATACATCTATACTCCATGTTACCTGTGTTCGGTTATCTATGTCAATAACAGAGAATGTTGGTTATATAATGATATATCATTGTATATAATATTATATCTGAATATAATGATGTTTGTCAAGAGGCTGGAGGTCAAAGGCTTGCGGCTAACCTCACTAAACGTTGCAGGATGGCAGGTCTTTCTTCTCGGGTGGTGATGGGTAAGGGAAGGTGGTGATGGGTAGGGAAGGTGGTGATGGGTAGGGAAGGTGGTGAAGGGTAGGGAAGGTGGTGATGGGTAGGGAAGGTGGTGAAGGGTAAGGAAGGTGGTGAAGGAAAGGGAAGGTGGTAAAGAAGAGCTTAGATAGTTATGATGATGGCTGTAGAGGGGGGGTATATGGGTAGTGAAGATGGTTATAATGATGAAAACAGTATGAAGATGGATACAGTGATGAGGATGGTCATGTATAGTGTAGATGATTACAGTGTTGAAGGATATGTGTGTGTATAGTTATGATGGTTATTGGGGGATAGAAATAGCCTAAGCTTCTCTATTCTTTTGAGATTTACTGTATCTTTATTGTCTCAATAAACGTACTTAAAGATGGTTACAGTGATGAATATAATGAATAAAGAGATGAAGTATAGTGAAGTGATGAGTATAGTGAAATACACATTAATAGTGGGTATTAAAAATGTGCCCTCCATCACCCGAGCAGTATCTTATAAATAATATGTACTCAAATTGTAGCTCATTAATGCAAATAAAAAATAATGCAGTCACCAAATTAATAGATATCTAATCTGCTTAAAATTTAATCTATGACAAGGCAGGAGCAGCATATCTGCCTCTCGAAGTGACGTTTCCCGAGGCCCGTCTCACCCATATACTGAAGGACTCGAAGCCTGCTCTACTGCTTGCCCAGGGTCACCCTTCAGTCATCCACTCTGGCCACACCAACCCACAGCTGCAGAACAATGTGCCCATCCTTCACCTTGAGGACCTACAGACAGAGGTAATGCCATTAAGTCTGTTAAATTAAATTATGTTAGATTAAGGATCTGCCCGAAACGCTATGTGTGCTATTGGCTTTACAAGAATGTAAAACGTCAAGTCTCTGTACTCTCATAAACCCAATGTACCTTCTTGTATATAAAAAATAAATAAATAAATAAATAAATAAATAAATACATCTTCAGCCATAAGTATAGCTATGTTATTCATAAGTACAGTATTGTAGAAATAATAGTTAGCTACCATTAGTCATTAATGGTAAGAAATTAATAGTGATGAAAAGTAAAAAATAAAATCAATTGGAACCCTTGATAAAGTTTGTGTACTGTACTACAAACCCAATCACATAAAATAATGAGCTAAAATCAATTTTTGTTCAATTCCGATATCAAATAGATTGTTAGGATTGTAGATAAAGATTTAGAATCTGTACAGTATTTGTAAGTGACTGGCTACCTTAGCTTGTGGCTACCTTGTGTATATAGCTTCCAGGGTTCAACAGCCCCGCAGCCCGGTTGGTCATCTGTTCAACCAGGCGGTTCATACCTGGAGGTCGCTTAAATTCATCGACTGCAGCCGTTTCAATAAATTAGAATAACTAAGAGGTTATTTCTTATTTAGTATTGTGTGTTTTCCCTGTAGACCTATGAATAACTTAACAATTATTTTATAACTATGGGCAAAACACTTTTGAGTATTAGTGGTTTTAGTTAATGTGCAACCTCTGTTCTTACAAAGGAATCACTATAATATGTTCTTATATATATTGTATTAATAAAATTATTATTATTATTATTATTGCAAAAATGTTTGAAGAAATAACTTTTCCATCATAGATCGACATGGAAAGCGGTGATGACCTGACAGCTCAAGAGGTTGGTGTGGCTCTCACTGGGTCCACTATTGCCACAATATTATACACTTCAGGCTCTAGTGGTATTCCCAAGGGGGTCAGATTGTCTCACAGAGCACTGCTAAATCGTCTGGCTTGGCAGTGGCAGACCTTTCCTTACCAAAAAGATGAGGTTAGTCCTATTTTAACTGTATTAGAAATGTTTATTTTTCATCATTAAAAAGGCCTGTGAGGATCATTACTGGTAGCCATCGAATCATCATAACATCTAGAGAATCAGCAAAGTATGTAAGTTTATTTTGGCAGAAGTTAAGATGTATTTGATCATTAATCTACATAGCCTTCCTGGCTTGGTGGCTTCTTTTGATAATTACTTACTTAATCATTAATCTCCTCATATTAAATTTATTAACCCACTTATTCTAAAGGATACTGAATGCTGAACTAAAGAAAGTCTATCTGTGACTGTTAACAAACTCACCGTTAACATTGGTAAAATGTTCTTCATATTGTTGACCATATGGTGAACCTAGTCATAGGTCCACCAATCAAATTAACAACACCCAAATTAAGAATAAAGTACATGGAAAATTTGTTGGAGTTCAAATTGATAGCAAGCTAAAATTCCATTGCCACATATGATATATAACAAAAGTTTCTAAGACTGTAAGCATTCTTTTCTCTAAAATATGATATTATGTACCTTGCACTGCCCTTATAACACTATTATTCACTCATCTACCCATATCTAACTTAAGGTATCTGGGCCTGGGGTGCTACAACCCAAAATTACCTTTGACACCATAATTACTCAATATCAATCGGCAATTAGAACAATAAAGAACTCCAGTCCCAGACAGCACTCGGCAATCTTTCAATATGGTTAATTTTAAGTCATTGCACATTGTCTAAAGTGTACTATATATCTATACATTTTTGAACTGCAATCAATACTAATCACTACCTTAAGCGCTTCTTAGAGGGCTGTAACAGACAGAACCCATGGGCATCATACGAGAAACAAATATCTTTTTAATACTGTCCTCTATTACAAAAGTGCAAATTTAGAAGAGTAGAAATGCTATGCAAATCTAGGGGTCCTGAACTCTGGAATGGCCTCCCTAATTAGATTAAACATTGTTCTACTCTCAACCAGTTTAAAAGAGAAACCAAGAAGTAAATCTATGTAACCAGCTTTATTTGCCTCTTCTCATCTTGCATGAGAAGAGGCAAATGGACCTGTGTGTGATGTTACTGTGAACATTAATTACTAAATTTGGGCTCTTACACTTTTACAATTATAAAATTACTTACCATGTTCTGTTGCAAAAATTCCAGTCTCATATTTTTTTAAAAATTGTCATTTTCTAAATCTCTTCAACCATTCAACATTTTATCTTTCTCATTTAGGTATTACTCCATTAAGCTTGTACAGTATATTATTTTCACTATTTTTTTTTACATTATGCACAGAATGCATATTTGTGGCTTTATCCATTACAGTATATTTATTCCCATAAAATAATAAGCACAATGTAAATTTTATTTATCTGTTTCTATAACAATATCGCTACTCCAAAAACTCTTTAATGAGAAGAGACCATAAATGAGATGGCACCCCCTTCTAGCCTGTTTCATCTCTCACTGGCACTTTTCTACAGTATATGCACTGTTTGAAAGACAATTAAATTGCTTAAAAATTATAAACAGTAGATGCATGGTATAAAACACTTGCCTCTTAAAATGCAGGTTCTTTAGTTGAAATATTGATCAGTAAATCATGATTACAATGGAATTTTCAGGACAAAAATTTATTACACAATTATGTCAAAATAATGAATAATTATAAATTCTGAATGTAATTACTTAACTCTTGCAGGTATGTTGCTTTAAAACAACTATCATATTTGTGGACTCCATCAGCGAGATTTTTGGCCCGTTGTTAACTGGCCATCAAGTGGTCGTCATCCCTAAGGTAAGAGTGAGCTCCACAATATACTAGAGTGGTCTCCCTGCTTTCTGAACTTGGCCACTAGGGCCGAGTTCATTTCCTAACAGTCTGGGAAACAGATTTGCCTTAGAGTAATTCCATCTTATACAAGACAGGATTTTATATGTTAAAAAGCAGTTGACAATACTGTATGTTTTTCTGTTTTTATGGTTCTGAATGGAGCTTTCCCTTATAAAATATTTTGTTAAAACATTTAACCAAAAGACACTAATTTTGATTAACAGACCATGACTCAGGCTGTGGATGAGATGGTGGCCGTGCTGGAGAAAGAGAAAGTTGGAAGGCTGGTGTTAGTGCCAAGCTTGTTGCGATCCATTTTACTACACTGCTCTGCAGATGACTCTCCAAAGCTGTCATCTCTTAAGTATGAACCTGTTAGTCTTTTCAGTAAAGTGCAGTATTCATAATATCATGCTGCACTTCAAACATACATTAAAGACAAGGGTGTTTGTGTGGAGAAGAAATAATTAGCTGACAACAGTGTAGAGCTGAAAACGAAACAAAGAAGATTTTATTTGTAGATAATACTTCTCCTCTGAGAAGAGAGAAATTTCTGTAGAGTGAAATGTTTCCTGAATTTACCTGAAGATCACTGTATCTCTAGTGGCTTTGATAAGGACAGGAAGCTAGCAGCTTGTCAAGGGTCCCCCCCCCCTCCATTTGCCTGATTTTATCCAGCTGGATTCTGAATTCCAGCAGTACTGGTATTTTGGAATTTGTGGCTTCAGCAGGTAGGCAATTTTACGGGATTATAATCCTATGGGTGATAAAGCATCTCCAGTTTTCTGTCCTACATTGTGGCTTCTTCAGCTTGGAAATGTTGCTCCTTATATGAGTTACATCTGACCTTTTAAAGAAGTGGTATGGCTCAATAACCTACAAATTTTTCAGCCTTTTCAAAGGTTCGATAATTTCAAGGTAACAGGAAAAATTAAGGGTTTATAATTGCTGTGATTTTCCTAAATTAATAATAATATAGTAACAAGAACACTTTATTTATAAAAATAAATGATTGTATAAAAAAATATGATGTACAGTACTTGTATAGGTATTTTATAGTCAAATTTTTGTCCACAGGCTGTGGGTGTGTTCCGGTGAAGTCCTCAAATCAGACTTGTTACATTCCTTCTTTGAGACATTCACAAGTGGTCAGGTGAGTGTCGCACTCAGCTGCCACTGCAAAAGAGTAAAAGAAAACTCAATGAGTTTTAACGTGTACAGCATACACGTTAAAACATGTTTTGATATGTTAACATCAGAAGCTATTAGTTATGACTTAAAAAAGTATAGTGAGGGTAAAACATATTAGTTTAGGTAAAATCTTTAAGCAAAGCCATTAGGACAATTAGTGAGTGATAATGCTATGATCAAAGAGTTTTATGTTCACGTTTTAATGCGTAATGATGGTGACAAAGTATGACCTCAAGATTAAGCTGCAGAGTAGCCAGGTGGACAAATATGCTAAGAAATGATCAAACAGTTGAGTATAGACTTTATTGAAGATGATTTGGACATGTTTCCTTACAACTGATGCTTCTGTTTATCTAGCAGACAATATGAACATTGGAGTTAGGTAACTGGTGGGTTGCATCCTAGTAAAGTAAATTAAAGTAACTTTTATTCAGGAAAGTACATACATAGTTGATTTACAAACATAATGTTGGATTTATAGATAGATCTAGTACATACAATACCTAAAGCCATTAGTATGCATTGCGTTTCGGGCAAGGTGATATGTTAACACCTTGAGGTCTAGTCGTCTAGTCACCTAGAGGTCAGTCGTTAGTTTAATGGCCACAATAAGGCTATCAGACTCCTGATAGTACAGTAATGAAGAATACACAGCCATTTCCGAGGTGCTCTGTCATGTTTGTTATTGTAAGACTGTGTCCATGACAGCAACTTTAAGGATGCCAAACTTGTATAAACATTGATGACGAAACCACACACCAGAAGATGAAGGTGTGTGGTTTGGTCATCATATCTTCAGCCACGTTATTGTGATTCATCGTATGCTTATATAAATATACTAGTACGCTGTGCGTACTAGTGGCTTTACAAGAATGTAATTACTATGCTATGTATCCTCACAATCCCAATGTACCTTCTTGTATATATATAAATAAATAAATAAATAAATAAATAAATAAATAAAAATATTTTGTTAGAATACTGTAAGCATAAAATATTTTGCAGCAAACACTATAACACCATGAAACATTAACACTATAACATCATGAAACATTAACACAGCAATCCTGTTTAACAACCCCACTTGCATAAATTAAAACTAGAAAAATATGTACAGTAAGTGTATTGTGACTTACACAGTTCTTTACCTTTCTTGCCTCAGTGCTGCCCTGGTTACTCTCTATTACTCCCTCATCTATCCATACCTCAACTATGGTATTTGTGCTTGGGGTTCTACTACCCAAAATCATTTACGTCCTCTAATTACCCAACACAAAGCTGCTATTAGGACAATATCCAACTCTGGCCCCAGACATCACTCGGTACCCTTACTCAAATCTCTGAATATGTTAGATATTAAGTCACTGCACATTCTCTCGTGTATTATACATATATAAAACGCTGAACTGTAATGCCAATCCTGACCTCAAAAGCTTCATTGAAGGTTGTAACAGAACCCATGAGCACCACACCAGAAATAAATACCGTTTTGATATTCCTAGAGTACGACTTAATCAAACTAGAAATGCTCTACAAATCAAGGGACCCAGAATGTGGAATGACCTTCCCAACCATGTTAAAGACTGTACCTCTCTCAACCAGTTTAAGATAAAAACTAAACACTACCTAATAAATTCCCTGTAACCTACCTCACTCCTCTATTGTCAACCCATGTCTGTTATTATTTTTTTTTTTTTTTTTTTTTTTTTTTTAATCAACACTGTTTGTCAACCTATTGTATTTGTGCTGCTTTTTCAGTCATGTTCCCCCTTTTTTTTTTATCTTTATTTGTATTTGTTTTCAACACTTTTTATTCTTTATGCTCTATTAGTATTAAGTTCTAGATATTAATGTTTTTCTTGCCCGAAACGCATTGCGTAATAGTGGCTTTAGGCATTGTATGTACTAGCTCTATCTATATATCAATCCATTAATGTAACATCACTTGTATGTATGTACCTTACCTGAATAAACATATTTATTTATTTATTTATTTACTGCGTATTCTGCTCAGCCAGAGGCATTGATTCCTGAATTAATTTCTCCTAAAGTAAAGAATTACCAAACAAAATTGTTTAGGGTTTTGTAAATAAAATGAATTGTAGAAGAAGATATTAAGACGAGGTTAAGACGAGGATATACTGTATTTGAAAGTCTTAATTAGCGCAGTACAGTAACTGTATTTGGCAATTTTTTTTTATTTAATCCATATCTTGTAGGCCTACCTGTTAGTTTTATTAATGTACATGCTTTGAGTTTGAAGTATCTAGAGTGACATAAATCGAGGCATACAGTCTGAGTGTTTAAAAATTTGATTTATGTATTTCTGCTTTAATTGAGTATACAACATTTAATTTAACTGGTAAATTATTTGTAAGCTTGTGTGATTTATATCATTGTTTTTTCTAGACACTCTGCAACTTTTATGGGTCTACAGAGGTGATGGGTGATGTGACTTATCTACAGTTTTGTAACAGTAAAGATGCTGCTGCCAAGTTAGTGAATAACAAAGTTCCCATCGGTGAGTGTATTGGTGAAGCATTCTACTGTTGCACATTACTGACATTAATGCTAAAAAATAGCTTCTGCATCCACTATGGCTCACAAGACGCAGCTACAGAATGTAGTTTGTTCGACCAGGTACATGGCATAGCTAAAGTATTCTTTGACTGAATATACTGTATAGTATCATATATTGTAAGGACACTAAGGATTTTAAGCAAAATCCTTAAAATTTAAGATTTTAAGTGTGTGATACGGTGAAAGTCTAGCTGATAAGTATGTTTCACAAGGTCAGGCAATCAACCATGCTTTGAAA